GGTGGCCCTAGTTTGAGAACCACTGGTCTAGACACCCCTAATTTGCTTTGAACTTTGCAGTTAAAATTACACTGAAGTTCATATTACAGGTGAGTGAATAGCTGATTTTTTTTTCAGCTCAGAGGTCAAACCAAAAAATCTGAAAATATTTTTTTATTGTCACCCAGAAATGGAAAATTATTTTTTTCTCGCCATAAAAAAAAATGCATTGAACTCATCATTTTTTTCAACCCTGAAGCAAAATGTTTTGTTTAGTTTTTGAGAGCTTATCTTTGTTTTTTAATAAATCTAACTACATTTCTAACCGAAACATCATTTACAAATGAAAAGTTAAAATGTTTCATTTAAAAAATGTCAGAATGAAACATTTTGACTTTTTAAAAAATCCTTTGCGGGAGAGGTTGGGGACATGAATCTATTGGCGTGAATTTGACGTGAATTCACAAACAGATTTGGCTGATCTGAAACTGCGTTTTTTGGCAAATAAATTATTTCTCAAAAATAATTGCCCAGCTCTAGTACATATCCAGGCCTGAACTTAGTGGCTGGGGTGTTATATTGCTATATTCTAACCCCCACTCCAATGCAAAATAGAAAAAAATTATCTGACAAACAGTATTTAGGCAAACTAGGCAGGAGCCCAGTCCAACTCCCACTGAAGTCAATGGGAAAAAATTCCCATCAAGTACTAGAGGAGTTTGATCTGGCCCTAAATACTGGCATATGATACTGTTTAATACAGGGGTTCTCAAACTGGGGGTCAGGACCCCTCTGGGGGTTGTGACGTTATTACCTGGGGGGTCGCGATCTGTCAGCCTCCACCCCAAACCCCGCTTTGCCTCCAGCATTTATAATGGTGTTAAATATATTTAAAAGTGTTTTTAATTTATAAGGGGGGTTGCACTCAGACACTTGCTATGTGAAAGGGATCACCAGTACAAAAGTTTGAGAATCACTGGTTTAATACTACAATATTTAGTTACTACTATGTCATATTTTCAATCTTTTCTGAAGATTGAGACTGAGATCATAGATGTAGACTTCCTCTCTATCCGGGGGAAGGGGTGCTCAAACCCCCTCCGCCCCAGACCCACCACCACTCCATCCCTTCCTCCAAGCCCCACCCTGCCTCTTCCCCCCCCATTCCATCCCTTCCCCCAAGCCCCATCCCCCTCGCCTCTTCCTGCCCCTGCTCCACCCTGCTCCGCCTCCTCACCCCCTCCCCCGAGCCCACCCCATCCCCACCCACCCCCTGCCTCCCAGTGCATCCTGCATGCCATGGAACAGCTGTGGGGAGGCATTGGGAGGAGGAAGAGCTTGGCTGCCGGCAGGTGCTAAGCACCGGCTAATTTTTGTTCCATGGGTGCTCAGCCCTGGAGCACTCACAGAGTCGGCACCTTTGTAGCCAGCCTGGTGTTCTAAAAGCAGACAGGTAATGCAGGAAACCTAGGCTCGCAGTGGCTTCAGATCTCCTTTCCCTTCAGGTAGCAGAGGAAGGGAACACTGTGGCTACTGCACACTTGACAACCATAATCTGACTGCCCAAATTCTTCCTAATAACTGATCTCAGAATTGCTCATCTTCAGAAGAGAACACTTAATGTTCCTTCTGACCATTCTTTGTTCACAGTCTCATATAAGGGCAGGTTTTCCAGTTGTAAGATATTTAAAGGCAGTCCAAGGAATCAAGATTCTGAAGGTTCTTAGGAATTTATCTTAACTGCTCTTCATTTAGAGGCAAGTGTGATTGGACATAAAAAACTGCTCAGTTGAGTGGGAGGAGCAGATGGTAGGTTGAGGCTCACAAAAAGCAAGTTACATATATTTTTTCCATCACATAAATGTCCCTTTAAATATTTCTTTTACTTCCTAGAGAGTTACCAGATATAACCCCAACATTTGTCTTTGCATTAGGAACAACCAATCCTTCACCCAGGTGTGTTTACTCATGTATAAAGTCTGAGCTACCTAGCTCTGATGATTTTGGTTGGTTGGGGGTTAGTACCTGGATCTTGAATTTCTGCATAGAAATGATTCCCAGAGCTGTCTCACAGCAGCTCCTCTTAAAATATAAAAGCATGAAAAAATAATATGGGTTGCTGCTTATGTTCAAAAGGGAAATCAAAAACTGCCAGATGCCTTGTACCTCTCCATCTCAATATCTCCCCTTGGGCAATATTTGCAGCTTCCCTATGATACACAAACATGAAAGAAACTAAACTTGAAATAAAAAAAATAGCAATTTACATTCTGTCAATTTAGCTCAAGTCAAGAGGCAGGCTTCACATAAGCATCTGCATCTACTCAATGACTAAAATTAATAAAAGAGCTAGAAAACATGGACTAACTGTGATCATCACTTTAACACAGTTGCTTTAAAAGCATTTATATCAACTTCCAGTGCATTCACAGTTGAATAATGAGAGCCAGAATTTTTTGTCCTTCCATGTTTAGCCTACCTGGTATGTTTAACCTTAAACTCAGCCACAGTTTCCTCAGTTGCTTTCATTGTTATTCAGTGAACGTACACAGAACAACTAAGGATAATACCAGTTTGATTGGCAATTGTTTTTGTGTTTCAAGAGAAAATATACAGTAATAAAACAGGACTAGTACATGAGACAGACTGGGCTGACTGCAACTAGGGCTCACGTGAAGCTGCTGGAATTTTGGTGGTCAGAAACAGCTGGATCAATTTGTATGGTTTCATGGCTCACCTGAAGCTTGGAGGACTCTGTCAGTTTCAACAAGAAGCTTCCCCACAGGACTTCCTTCTGTAAATTCTGGGGGTATCTTCTGAGACTACATCATATAGTCACTTGAAAACCCTGCCCTCAGCACCCATAATCTTTGGAGAGGGACTGGCTCAATTTCCTCTCCCTCATATCAATGGGGGGGATCTTTGACCCATTCTTCATGACTAAAATGACCAGATGTCCCGATTTTATAGGGACAGTCCCGATATTCACATTCACTATCTGGTCACCCTATTCACAACTGGCATCCACATAAGTGCAGCAAATAGGACTGCTTCCTGCCATCCCTCTCCAGCATCCTGGAAGACTTCCTGGGAGCAAGATGCATGTGCATGCCTCATCATTAAGCAGCAGTGGGACTGAGATATGCTACTCCAGTCTCACCCTGCCGCTGCTAATACCCCAGTCTGGAGCCTGATACACCCCAAGACAGTATTGTGATGAGAGATAGGAATTCCTTTTACTGTGACTTGACATTATAGAAGGAGAAGCATTGGCATAACCGTGCCCACTTATAATTATTTGTATTATGATAGTGCCTAAAGGCCACCAACATTCAGGATGGGGTCTCCACTGTGTTAGGAGCTGTATAAACACACAGGAAGATATTACCTCTCCCGAAGCTAATTTTCCAGGGCTATTACAAGCCTCTGCCTCTGAATGAGATTGCAGACAGACTCCCGAGTTCCTCTGACGAAGTGAATCCAGGCTATGGGGAGGAAGCAGGCCTGCTTGTTGGTCCCTAGAAGATGCTGGATATGAGCAGCTGAACTGCTGGCTGACTACAAAAGTGCCAGGTGGCATGATGAGTAAGTGGGATAGTTAACTGCCAGGAAGACTCTGGAAGGAAAGGCGAGATTGCAGGCCACTGTGTCGCCCCAAAAGACACATGAAGGCAAGTCACTGGGGGTCAGAGCCTACGAGAGAGGGAGAGCCTGGTATGGTAGAAATGGAAGGGACCCGGGCTAGCCCATATTCTCAGCTAAAAGTTAATTATAAACACACGTGAGCCCAGGTAACACTGGGTTTCAGTGCTAAAGGTCTGCATAGTTCCAATTATAGCTTTATAATGCTTTCAACACACGCAGCAGCAACAAAAATCACTTTTGCAATTTTGGCGAGATTGGATGATGCCACCCTACTTTCCACACAAAGGTATCAAATCAGCAGTTAATAGGAAATCATGGGGAGCTCAAGTCTTGCTTTCAGCATACACTGTGCAATAGCAATAACAGTTCAATCTTAGACAGATTTCTTGTATGTAAATAGCATCATTATTTCATGTATTACCACTGACCTTTGGCGCATACTAGGCAAGGTAGGGTTGTTCATCACCTTCCATTGATTTTTCAATTTCCAGTAAATTGGTTTTATCTTGAGGTTGTTTACGTATTAGGAATAAAAAATGCAGAAGCCTGACTTCAGAAAACAATAACAAGGTTTTGAACTGGAGACCCTGTGGTTAAAAAGGAACCTTTTGCAGATATTAACATTTGGTTCTGCGGACAAAGGATTCTGCTCTCAGCTATACCAGTATAAATGGATTGTCAGTGGAGATACTCCAGATCCACACTGATGTATCTGTCAGAAGAATTTGGGCTTTCACAATATTAAATGTCAGTTACACATTCCAAAATAAATATATATTGCTGAATTGTTCTCCTTTACCAACAAACGTACAGACAGTCTGGCTCTTCAACATTCATTCTGGCTTGCAGGAAGGGACTGATTTTTGTTTTTTGATTATAAGAACTAAGTATTACTCAATGAAATTTGTCCCACAGGCTAGGAAATTCTCTTTAAGACCAGAGGGTATTTAAAGAGCCAGACTAACCCCCAGCACAATTTCATAAAAGGTCAGATAGGAAATCACGTCTGCCTTTTGTTCCAAACCAGCAGACAGCTACTGTTTCAAGTTCTAAAAGTTTATTCATTTCTGTGATTTTATGTCCAGTGTTATGCAATGAAAAATTCTACTGCATCCAATGCCAAATGCATTGTCTATCAACTCTGGTACCAGATTCGCAAATGATGAGCATGGTATACAAACTCTGATACAAACATCAAATAGAAAGCTCTACAATAAAGAGCTTTGTTGAGCAAATTTCAACATCTGAACATTTCTGAGCCTCTGTTCATATAACACAAAAATACTATCAAGAAGTATGCTCAGATGCTATGTTGAAGAGGCCCACATGGACGGAAGGACAGTACATATATTTAGATAGATAAATTATTCACTTACCTCACGGTCCAACAATGCAGGTGATACCACTGTGACAATGTCTCCTTTCTCTGGATCAATGAAGAACATATTTGGAGATGGTTTGTCAGGAGTCTGCTTAAGGATATTATACCTCAAAAGAGCATTGTCTGTAGCAGGGTCATCAGCGTCAAAGGCCATCATGCGCATCACAGTGCTTCCTAAAGAGAAGGTAGACAAACAATATAACACGGTTACCAATATAGACTATTATCAGAGGGGTAGCCATGTTAGTCTGGATCTGTAAAAAGCAACAGAGAGTCCTGTGGCACCTTTAAGACTAACAGATGTATTGGAGCATAAGCTTTCGTGGGTGAATATAGACTATGTGACAAGAATGCATAAAGCTCCTCTGGTTCCATGTATGAGCATCACTAGGCCGTAATCCAACATCAGCTCAGGAAAACCAATAAAGAATTTCACCTGCTATTTAGTCTGTCAGTTTACTTTTCCTCAGGCTACCGATTTCTAGGTTGGTAACAACAGGCACATGTGTCTACCCTGCAGCAGACAAATGTATCTAAACCAAACATGGCATCTTCCCCATGTGGCTTTCATGGGTGGTCACACCCACATGCTTGCATATAACCACTTTTTCATTTTCACACCATGAAAATAAAGAAATTAAAGAGTCGAGGATGTCTTCCAGCTAATAACAGATGAAAGAAAAATAGGAAAATGAAAAATGTAATACTTAAAATGAGAGAAGGGTTTCAAAACTCTTTAGTACTCAGGCTTCTGAGAGTATCAGAACTATTTGTGAATTTGACATGAATTTGCTGAATAATCCAACCCCACCTCTCAATTTTTACATTGCAGTAATTAGGGCACTATTCTGAACTATTCTGGGGTGAGGTTCTCGCAATCTCTCCTTTTGAAGCTGTTCTGCTGCTGTCCACAACGACTCCAAGTACAAATCCCTACTCCAAACCAGGCAGATTGGGGGCTTGAACTGAGGTGTCTTAGATCCCTAGTGAGTGTTCTACCTACAAGGGGCCACCACCTCCTCCTGGTGTTCTAGGAATGGTCTTTCCTTTGGTTTTAATAAATACAAGCAGTTCAAAATACCTAAAATTGAACAAAACATTTTATTTCGGGTCAAACTAAATGTCTGACCCAAAACTTTTTTTGTTTCAATTTTTGGGTTTTACCAAGTAAACTGGAAAGTTTTCATTTCGGGTCAATCCAAAATGACATATTTTCTTTCAATATTTCGATTCAGCCAACAAATGGAAAAAAATCAATTATTTGCACTGTAGGCACATATAGTGATGTTCTGCAAATCATGTTCTTGCTTTTGGACCAACAACTGGAGAAGCCTAATCTCAGAACTCTTTCTCAGTCCCATGGCTCCTTAATGATGAGATATGCACATGTATCTCACTCCCAAGAAGAGTCTTCCAGGACGCTGGAGAGCGATGGGCAGGAAGCTGTCCTGTTTCCTGCTCTTGTGTGGATGCCAGTTGTAAAGAATGGGCCAGTGGTTTCCCACTGATGATTTGAAGGAGGGGAAATTATGTCAGCCTCTCTCCAAAGATTATGGGTGCTAAGGGGCAGGCTTTGCAAGTGACTATATGATGTAGCCTCAGAAGATACCCTCAGAATTTACAGAACAGGGTAATCCTTTCCCAGAAGATTCCCCAGTTCCTAATAAACCAAAATCCCTCCTCCCATCACCATTGTCTCATCCATGCATTGAGACTCTGCAGTTCTGCCTGTCTAATTGGTCCTGTACATGGAAGGAGAAGCATTATGGAGAATGCTACCACTGAGGTCCTGGATTTAATCTCTTACCTAGCAGCGTCAATTTGGCCTCCAGGACCTCTCTCCTGCCTTTCTCTATGTCACTGGTACCCACATGTACCACCAACACTGGTTCCTTCCCACTACTGCAACCTTTGCATGCAGCAGGCAATTTACCCTGTGGTTCTCCCGGGCATCGCAAACCCAACCACTAATAATCAAATCCCCTTATTACATTTTGCAATACTGGGAAACATAGCAAGGCATCAAGGGATAAGTTTCTTCTCTCAGAGCTGTCTGACCTTTAATCACTGGTGAACAAAACCAACATGCTGTCAGATCTCTGTTATATTTCTCAAGGGGGGTAACTGCCTGAAGTGGCAATGAAGCAAAACCTTGGAGAGCTCATTTTCAAGGTCACTACAACAAAAGGCTCCGCTTTGTGCTCTGAGAAATATAACAAAAGAAAAGGGGGAGAAAAAAGCACATTTGACCAAGAGAGTTGTAGTGCTTGTTTCACAGTGTGCTATAATGTTGTTACATCCACCCATAAATGCAGTAGCCTTTGTACTTTCTGTTTGATTTCTAAGGGCTTGTCTACATGGGGAGCTATTCTGGAATAGCTAATCCTGATTAGCTCCATGTGTGGCACTCTTAGAATGGAATAAAATTGCCTGATTTAGGTTAATCCACTTGGGATGTCGATTAAGGTAGGTTAGAATAACAGCATCCACAGAAGGAGTTAATCAGGAATAGTTAATCTGCTTTGAATTTACACCCTAGTCTGGATTCATTTTCATGGGTAGAATCAAGGCTTGTTCACATGGAGGTTTAGTGTGCAGCAAGCCAGGGTGTACATCTCAAGCTCACAAGCCTGCTGCATGCTTACAGGCCGCATGGACCCTGCTACTGCACACTAAAAGTTTGTAGTGTGCTTTGATCTACTGCTATTTCAAACAGCAGCACATCAAAGCAAACTGAGCAACTTTTGGGATGCGATAGCAGAATCCAAATGGTTACTTAGTGTGTGGCAGACTAGTGAGCTGTACATTCACACCCTAGCTTGATGTGCATTAAGTCTCCAGGTAGTCAATCCCTCATCAAATCATAGAAATACAAGGCTGGAAGGGACCTCAATATTTTCAGTCAGAGTGGCATGAAACTCGTGTGATACTAAGGGCATGTCTACATTACCCATTGGATTAATTCATCGTGTCTAATCTAGACATGATAAATCAACCACCGAGCGCTCTCCCATCGACTGGTACTCCACCAGGGCGAAAGGCGCAGGCAGAGTCGACAGGAGAACGTCAGCCGTCGACTTACCGCAGTGAAGACACCGCGGTAAGTAAATCTAAGTATGTCGACTTCAGCTATGTTATTCACATGGCTGAAGTTGCGTAACTTAGATCGATTCTCCCCCCACCCCCCCCCATGTAGACCAGGCCCTAAGGAGTGATGGTACTCTAACCCTTTTTGTGAATACTGCTGTTTGCTACGCATGAACTTGAAAGGCATGGATAGAAACAATATATTGTGAAGTAATTTCCACTGTGCAAATGTTACTAATTCCAAATGGTAGCATTTTGCAGTCACTTTGTATAGGTGTGGATGCTTAATATAGGTGGAGAAGCAGGTCCATTTTTTTCTGTCCTAGTTATTTCTAAGGTGTCCATGCCTCACAAGTTACTTCACCTCTATGAGTCTCTGTAACCAAAGAGAAAATAAACGTAAACAGATGAGGCTTTCTGAGGTACAGTAATACACTGCTATCCCTATATAACGCCACCCGATATAACACGCATTTGGATATAACGCGGTAAAGCAGTGCTCCGGGGGGGCGGGGCTGCGCACTCCGGTGGATCAAAGCAAGTTTGATATAACGTGGTTTCACCTATAACTCGGTAAGATTTTTGGGCTCCTGAGGACAGCGTTATATCGAGGTAGAGGTGTATCTCATACTGCTTGTATGTCATTACAAATCATCAGTGCCTGTACATTGTTGTGATACCTGTCACTTGTTCATACACATACACACACGCAGAATAGCAACTCTTTAGCTCCAAGATCACCTGATACCCTCTGTCAGAGGAGCTGTGGAATCCCACTGCACAAAGGGAAGAGTAGCTCTTTCAATGGGACCAATTTGAATGTTACAAAGGCTTGTCTATCCCAACTAAAAATGGCCTGTGTTCAAATATATACCCAAACTAACATGAAAGCTCACTGCTGCACATTTCACACGTGCACACTAACAGCACAGTAGTAGCTAGTATATATTCAAAGCCATTTTTTAAAATGAAATCTAAATGTTTTACAAAAGTAGCGGGCAAGTGGTTGCATTTCCTTCCTCCAACAACACTGCTGCTTTAAATTAAGAGTTAAACACAGTCACTGTTCTATATTTGTACTTTATAATAAATTAAATATTGGACTCAAGTCAAAAAGATCAAATTCAGATCTGCATTTCCTAAAGATGCAAAGATGTGAAGATCAATGGTTCTGGTTTGGGCACACGTACTGCTGCTAGTATTTCAAAAGGATCTATAGCGTAGACTTCAGTGCCAACAAATTTAATTTAAGTTGCATACATCTTTGGCATTACTCCTTCATCATAAAGTTTTATTCTTCATAAAAGATTCATTTCCCCAGACTCATAAACTGACGACTTCTAATTCAGTGTCATTTTATAAATACTTCCATTCCTGGCATCAATCAAATGCAGCTGCCTTCCAAACCACAAAACAACAGCTTGCAACATTATCATGTTAAACAATATATATTAACTTATCAAGCTGAGGAACAAATGTCTGCAAAATCAGCAACTTTATAGTTCTGCCAGTGATTTGGAGCTATTCCCGTTAGGTTCTCTTCCTCAGCAAAGGTATAGGAGTTGCCATGCTATAGTTCAATGTTTGTTCCACCTTCTGGACAGTTTTGTTATTGTTATAATCACTGGAAACCTCTACTTGCACCTCCCAGAGTTGCTCATTGATTAGATACATATTTCACCAGCCAATTCATTGCTCCAAAGACTGTAGCTATCAATCTGCTGATTGTTGATTTGGCCTACAGTTTGCTTTAGAAATATTAGTGAATAACTTCCCTGAGACACCAGAAAGCAAAACACAATGCTTGCACAATCTTGTGGCAAGTGGAACAGATCGTTTCTTGGGAAAAGCTCCTCGGCATTTTGTAATTTACCTTTCAATAACCTTTCTTTCTTTGTCAGATGCCAAGAGAGTATCCGATACATTTGAGCTGACAGAGAAAACGCCTATTAACACAGAATTATTTTAGGTTCAACTATCAGATGGGTTGAGGGCCTTTTGCTTTATTACCTGTCATCTCCATTCGCAGTTACCTTGGGGGTCATTACTATACATCTTGCCCTAACCTAGATGTGCAATTACTGTAT